GATGCCCCATCCCTGCAGGCATTCAAGGCCAGGCTGGATGTGGCTCTGGGCAGCCTGGGCTGGTGGTTGGTCACCCTGCACATAGCAGGGGTTGAAATTAGGCGATCTTTGTGGTCCTTTTCAACCCAGGCCATTCTATGATTCTATGATAAATGGTATATAAATTTATAGAATTATAGAATCATAGAATTTCCCAAGTTGGAAGGGACACAAAAGGATCATTGAGATCCACACAGGACCACCCAAAAATCAGACCAAATTCCTGAGAGCATTGTTCAGATGCTTCTTGAAGTCTGGCAAGCTCAGTGCCATGACTTCCTGGGAGCTCCAGATGGCTTTCCACTACTTTACTGAAGAGAGATTTCTTATAGTGCTGGGTAAGACAGGAAAACAAAACATGACTAAGTTACTGATCTAGTACTTGATCTAGCAGTTGACAAGCCTGCTTGCAGGAGGGCAGTTGGAACCTGATGATCTTTGAGGTCCTTTCCAACCCAAGCCTTCTATAATTCTAAGATGCTACAACTGCACAAAGCCTGAAATACCAGCCATTGATACCGTCTCTCTTATGATACAATGATTACAACTACAGATAAAACTGGTGTTCCAGAATGCAGCGTGTGTTATTTATCAGTGACTGGTACAACTAATATCCAGATTAAGACAGCTTGAAAGAAAGTTAGAATAGCCTGAAACAGGTAGAGTATTTCATTTGGACTCACCTCATTTGGACTGAGATGACATCAGTCATATGAGTACAAATGAAAAAATGACAAATATTGACAACTTTGTATTCCTGCTAATGGAAATTATAGTTAACACTTTTCCTTAACCTGTCAGTTCTGTTTCTTAGAGCTGTTCCATTCAACCTCTGAATTATTCTTTGAACAGCAGCAGTAGCTAGATACAGGTGTTCAGAGTTACACATGAGCTCTATTAGCAAGTTTTTGCTCTCCTGTATCTCCAATAATATGTTATTGCTGAAAAGTGGCTTTGATTTTGCATTATTCATAAATGAATGCATTCTGAGGGGAAAATGACCAATTTGGTAAAATCCCCTAACCAAAGGTTGCTTTGGTTCTAAAAGTTTGAAAGAGTGTCATGGGAGCATTAGTGCCTGAAGATGAAACCCAAGCTTTTGATGAAAACTGCTGCAATGAAACTAATACAGGGTTAAAAGCTGCAGCCCATGAGTGTCTAGGTAGTTGTGGAGCTGACTGAGGGAAGAAAGGAGGATGCTACTGACAGTACCAGAAGCAAAGAAATAATAACCTTAGATTTTATGCCAAGAAGTATGAACAGTATTTTATCATCCCCTTCTGAAGTGCCATAGGCAGGTATGTGCTACTAATGTCCCTTCTACTTTAAGAGTTTCATCAACATCATAGGCATTACATCACTATTATTTATAGAATGTAGCATAGCGACACTTTAAAAAGTTCATTTTGTTGAAGTCACAAAACAGTCTTCATGAGGCCTTCAGTGTTTCCTTTTTATTCCCACACTATGAAGGCGACCACAGTGGGACAGTTCTGCTTATGCAGTTCAATACGGCTGTGCTTACTTCAGTGGATCTAGGTCAAATTACACTGGCTAAGGATTTGGCTGCACCCTTGAACTTTAAACCGATTATAAATTTTGATTTGTCAGTATATTTTTTGTGGGGTCAAATCCCACATTTACAGAGTGAGACAGTACGTAACCTTGCACAGTGCGTGGCAACTAGTGCTTACAAAGAGGCTAGATAGCACTAAGGTAAGCATAAACATGGGGATGGCATGACACTGTATTTAATAGGCTCAAGTAGCTCTACAACAGTCCAGATGCAGATGGGTTATTTAGATAGAAGGTAGAATATATATTTTTTTAAGTTTTCTAAGACACTTAGGCAACCAGTGTAAATTGAGATTGATGAAGGATACCTAACTCTTCCAAGAACCATGGCCATCACATCAGGGTATGATGCTTGACAAGTAAATTCTTATTTGCATAGCTGCTTATAAATACCTGTTATATAAACTTGCATTCCAGCCTTGGTGTTGACTCCTTTCTTCCCTAGGAATATTCCCCCCACTCTTTAAGACTGGCCATTGCATCTTCATTACAGTCACTCTGACCTGTAAAAGAAACAAATACATTGTTCATTGGGCACTTAATTTAATGTTAATTTCATTTAATAGCATTTCTTAATTTTTATTAAAGAAAATAGTTGATCAGATCCAAACACGTATAATTGGAGACTCAAATCCATATTAGGTGATAAAGTAATATGCCACAAGTGCAGCTTGGCTTGTCATTGAAGAAAGGATGGAGATAAATTAGGAGGATAAAACTAAGTGTACCACAGAGCTGCTGGGATGAGTCTACCTTGTGAAGGAGCCGTGGAAGGGCTAAGCATTCCCCTGCTACAGCAGAGAAGCACCACTTGGTGAGGCTGGGTCCTGCAGCACTACCACATTATAAATGACACGCTTAAGAACTCAGGCATTTCAAATTTATTAGCCAGTTTGTAAGAGCTTGGCAACAGCTGAGCTTACAAATCCATTATTTGCATGCAGCCTGCATGCCTTGCCTTACCATGTGCTAAATACTTGAACCACCCAGGCTACGTCTTTACCCATCGGTCTGCTGCCCAGCTTACAAGTAGGATTCAGTATGAAATCAAGTCAATATTTATGTCTTCTGTGAAGGTACTTATATACCTAGGTAACACAGCAAAACAAACAAAACCAAAAAGAAACTCAAAACTTTAATTCTGGAGGGGACAAGGGATCGTTTTTTACAACTTAAATTACATTAGCATTAATACTGAAAGTACTCTGATTAGATGTCACTTTAACAACTACTAAGTGGGTTGCTTTTTTTCTTTTTCTTTTAATCTTAAATTCCTCCAGCTAATGACTTTTATACTGCATTGCGTTTGCTCTTCCTCAGTCAAAACTGACAGCAATACACAGTTGTCAAGGTCAGATGTCACACACTGAAGGAAATAAAGCCTTATGTCTCAGAAATAGCTAAATGAAGATATGTAATTAGAGGAGAAAAAAAAAAATGAGATTGTTTTCATCATCGCTGGGGAATATTTTGCTTCGTTTCCCCATGAGGAGGACAGATATGGAAATGAAACAGGAAATTCTTCATATTCTGTCGTTATTTAAAGGCCAAACGCAGCAAGGAGTGGAAATTGGAAGTTGGTGGCCGAGTTTCAAATAACTATCCTAAAATCAAGCATACAGAATCTCAACAAACCATTCTATTCTCAGTTCTTAAAGACCCTCTAAAGTAAGCTAGTCCCTAGTTATCATCCAAGACACTTTGCTGCTAGCAAAGGCAATGTACTATGGCAGTCTAATCGGAGGAATACCCTATGGAGATGATGAGAAGTCTACAGTTGCTTTTATTTCTTCTGTGTGACAGTAGCTTATGCTGTTACGGACACATGGTGTTGTTGGAGCCTCACCAAGCAGCACAGTCATTAGCATTTCTATTCTGTTTGGAGAGAAGCAGCTGTCCGGATGTTTCCATGGTGGAATTGGTTTAAGAGTTCTGGACTTCAACATTCCAGTTATATGTGGATTAGACTCTGGGATACCTACTGTTGTCATTAAGGCAGGAAGGGAGCTCATTAGTTTGTGCAGCCTCTTATCCCGTGCCAGCAGACTGTTCTCTTTTACTGGGGTTCCATACCTTTTAAAGAGGTGATTTTGGAGTTCATTGCTCTCATTTAAGGTTTGAAAATTGGTAAATTTAGAGTTCTGGGGGAGATGGTGGAGGAAAGACTCCTATGCTCTTTTCTCTGGCTTCCTTTTCAAACTGGAAAACCGGCCATCACTTCCTTTCCACTCTTCACCCAGTCTTCTTTCATCACAATTGAAGTCAAAAACATGAAGTAACATTTGAAATCTGGGATTTTGCTCCCAAGGATCTAATGGAAAAAAGAGAGGAAAAAGTAATGAGCAGTTAACAGAAGGAGGAGATATTTTCCTCTTGAAGTTGTTATGTGTTCTCATGTAACACTTTGGAAAACATGCATCAGATACTGTTTCTTTGTTTCCCTATACTATGCATGCATTTTCACAGCCAGAACAAAGTAAAAAATACCTCGTTTCCTGCATTTCACCCTGGGCTGGATAAAACTGCTCCTAAAAGTAATGTGCTCTCAAATTGGCAGGGAATAAATGGCTGGCAAAGGCATCCAGGGTGATTTCCATGCCAAGGAACTGGCACATCCTTCAGTAAGGCAGCTCTGAATAGCACCATCCACACCCACTTGCTCTCCTGTCACTGGTTGCAGTGCACAGAGAGCAAGCCAAGTTACTTCTATTGCAGTTCAGAAGGTCAGATGTGAGGTCGTGTGAGCTTGTATCTGCTAAAACTTGGTATTTGTGGCAGAACACTATTTTATTATGGACACATTTTTTTTTCTTCCGTGTTTGTCAATAGTCCAAGCAATTCCAAGGAGAATAACACAAAGTCCAGTTTTGTATCTACAGGCTTGTTGATCTGTTATTCATATCTCCTCATAGACGAAATATATGGACTGACTGCTCAAAGCTGTTCTTCTTTACAAATCCAGAAACTTTTCTAGTTTGAAGAAAGCATCCTTGTGCATTGTTTGTAAAAACGTCTGCATCTCTTCTCTCAGCAGAGACGATGTTTCCTCACTCCTCTTCCTGGGTAGAATCCCAGTATCATTTTGCTGTTACACAGGAGATGCTACAAGGAGTTTTGACTGTACTGGTTCCCACTGGAACCAAACTAGGACTTGCCCTACTCTCTTTCTGAGATGTGCCTTTTAATATCGACAGAAAGCCATGTATGAAGCAACACAAAAACCTCACAATTTCCAAGCTTATGGATGAAAAAGATATCAAGGAAAAAGCATATCAAAAAGCAGATTAGCAAGGTGTTTATAAATTTCTTTCTTCTCCCCACCTTCTGCTCTTTTAGAAAGCAGAGATGACAGATGCCTTCTAAGCCTGCCAGTGCACAGGTGTGCTCGATAGCAGCACAGTTGTCTTCACCCTCCAAAGTACATTACACATGAATTGCTTCAGAAATGCAAACCTTCCCCTAGAAAACAGCACCTCCCTTTGAAAAAGGTATTTAAGGACTCTGAATTGACCCTCAAAAGCACCCTTGGATTTTTTCCTTTCCAAGTACTGGAGCAAATGGCTTTAACTGGCAGCTTAAAGATGAAGAATCATGAATCTGTCCATGCCAAAAACCACAGAAGTCAAAAGTACATAACTTTTCTGGTTTTATGGTATTCTGTTTAATTTCTAAGCTTCTCTTTTCTGGTAGAAGGCTAATTATGAAGCCTAAGATTATTGTTTTTCTGTTATGTGTCAAAAGCATCGCAGGATGCTCACACATCCCTGGAAAGCTGAGACACAGTTTGTGATTTCTGAGAGCAGAAACACATTTGAATATTGGCTCAAAATCAGGCAATTTGTGCAGAGAAATGGAGGAAGTATCATTTAGCTTATTGCTCTGAGAAATACCAGTAGCTTTCCATTTCAGTGAAAGGCAATATTGAGAACCTTTTGTTTTTAGTGCAGTTATTCCTTCCTTAGTGCTGGAGATTTTGTAAGCTTGCATTTGAATGGTATCTGAAAAACAAACAAACAAACAAAAAACTTGAAAGATAGAAGACTAGATGAGAGTTATTTTGCTTACAATGAGAAACTCAGACATATCATAGAATATCCCCCATAGCTTACCCTAAAGCATAAAGCACCGCTCCCCTCCTGCACTTTACACTTACTAAATAACCAGCATCGTGCTATTTCACACTGGATATCATTGAAACTTATCCTCAGGACTACATTTAATACAACTTTTTGTGAACAAATTTATTTTTAATCAAGTATAAGCTGTAGCCTATGGTAAGATCATAATGTATTCCATGCTCAAAGAAAATAATACCTTGATTTTATCTTTTCTAAGATCAAAGTTTAAAACACTAGCTTTCTTGCTTAGTGTGTGCAAAAGGAAGCCATCTTCTCCTGTGACACCTTTGAGAGATGGCAGAATTTAGATCAGAGAGCGTTTTGGTTGAAAATTGCAAAGTTGAAGCCCAACCCAGAGAACAAACTCAGGTGAATGGGTGTAAAAGGGAGAAACAATACAGCGCTGTATCATTTTCCCTCCAGATGTGTTTTCATGAGTGTAAAAGAGGGTTTGTATTTCAAGATTTTGGCTCACAGCTCATGGCTCCACTTACTATAAATGCATTCAGAAATACTCACGTCCTAAGCACTCAGTAGATAAGGAATATCCTGATAAGCTAAAACCAAAGAAACCCTTATCAGTCTCCTAGTCTTCAGCAAATCTGGGACTTCACGTACCTTCCTTTTTTTTTTTATGCTGTCCCCACACTTCACATGTTCTCCACCAAATATGACTGCATTGATAGACAACGATGCAAACGTGATTCTTGGCAGTTCTCACTGGCTGCAATAAGGTGGTTATTTACATGAAGGAGAGCACACTACTGTGGAAGTAATGCTGTCATGTAAATTAATACTGAGCTAAATAACAAGGTATTCACTGCAACATGACCCTCTGTGACCCCAAAAGCAAAATGAGATCATTAAACTCCCATGATGAACTCATTCCTCAGTTCCAGAATTCCAGAATTAGATGAGGTTTGAATATTTATTACCTGAAATTATCTTGCACTTGACTCAATAAGCCATTTTGGGATATATTCTTATAGTTCAGATCTTCAAGTTAATACAACAAAAAACTATACCTGAATTTTAAAGAAGAAATGTGTATCATTAGGATGAAGGGAGTGCTCAGTTCAGTTAGAACCCTCAGATGACACAGTGCTGGAAAAAGTCCTGAAGGACATCTTCAGATGCCACCTACTGATTTCTGTCTTGGTATCTTGCTGAAATAAATCATTTCAAGTAAATGGTTTGTTCTAAAGACTACAGATATTTGCATTTCTTTTACTTCATTTGCTTAAATAGCCCTCACTGCTATTGTACATTTGCCTCCCCACTGCATTTACAAATCCTACAGACTTCAAAAGAGGTGCACGTTTCTTGCTATAGTCTGTTTTCTAGAGGAACTGTGTTTTGCTGCTGCTTTTTTTTTTTTCTTAACTCCTTTGTACCTTATAATATTTAATAGTTAGATTTTTCATCATTACCTTTTCCATTTCTGTCAGACAACAGATTTTTCTTTCAAATTATTCCGTACCTGATAGTTCCTTTTTATTCTGCCTTTATTTGTTCTCTCAAATAGGCAGCTTCCCGTTTTGTGTCTTTAAGGATGTATGTAGTGATACATATAGTGATCATCTGAATCATCAGCTCTAGGTACCATCAGTGCTACTTCTAACACATCACTTAAAACGAATGCATTTATTACATTTACTTATAAGAAATTGTCATTTCTTCAAAATGTAATTCCCAGCAACACACATTAAAAGCCAAATAAGAAATGATGCTGCTTCTTTGAAGAAACAGCAAAACTAAAGAGATCTGGAACATCTGTTTCACTTGTTGGAAACTTGAGCTCACAAGGAGCTCGTTTTCTGGAAACAGGCACTAGAGACTTGATCGGTGCCTGTGATGTATATCAGGTCTCAATTTGGGCTGACCTTGCCAGCAACCCCGTTTTCCTTTTAATAGCTATCTATCTACTCAGTGCTGAACCTCATCTATACCTAGCAACTGATGGAACCAGTATTTTTCCACACGACCTCTAACTTTGCAATGGCTCTAAGAACTGCTACAATACTTTCAGATATTTTAATTAAATCAATCCAGAGGGATGTGACGGTCACTGTAGTGCAGGGTTTTTTTCATGTAGGTGAGAAGTCACATGGGAATTCCCAACTTCAAGATACAGTAGAACAGTTCAGTAGGAATGGACCTACAAAAAACAATAAAGTCCAACCACTTCAAGGTTAATAGTTCAAGTTAATAGTCAGTAGTTCTGACGGCGTTGTCCCAGTGCCTCTTGAAAACTGACAAGCATGGGACATCTACCACCTCATAGTAAGCCTGTCCCATCATTGGACAGCCCTCAGGTCAGCTTAGGTTGAACCTAGCAGGTGGTCTCCCAGCATGATGAAGAAAGCTGTGTGAAAAGCCCCTGCCAGAAAGGCCAATCTTTTAATACTGTTCATAATGAAGAAAGCAAAATTCATATTCAGACTAACATATCTGCTGAAGCAGTGAACGCCTTCTAGGCGTGCATTCTTTCTGTCTTAGCTATCATGACATGCTCAATCTTTAATCTTTTTTCTACTTTTACTTTTCTTCTTTAAATCAGCAGTTAATCATAATTGAAAACTAGCATCAGTCCAATAAATTAGAAGATTAGAATTTTTTAAATAAAACAGATTTGAAGCTTATGAGTTTATGTTTAACGTGCAGATTTTAGTTTTATAAACAAATACTTCCTCCTAAAACTTTGCATTTCTTTCCCAGAATGAGTTGCACTCATAACTATGAAGTTCCCAGTACTGAGTTGTGTGCCTGAATTCCCCACGCAGCAGTTTGATGGTTTTGAATTTGGGTACTGACCTCAAAGTGAAATGGAAAAGCTTTGCGTGTGTTGCAAGATTAAAGCTGAAAGCTTGGATCTGAACTCTAATCCACAGCAGCCTACTGCAAACACCTCCTCCTCTTCCACTCTTTTCCTTCCCCCTTTTCCTCTTCCATCCCTATAAATCGTTTGGCAAGTATCTTTGCTTTGGAGCAGCAAGAAAGAGTGTAGCAAATGACTGCAAAACACTAACACTTAATTTCTCGAACGGGCAGATAAATATAATCAGATTTCCTTCACCTTAACTGTAAGAACAAATCTGTAAATTGAGTGCTGTTGCTTTTAAGGATGTGGCTGAAGCAGGCTACAACATGGCTTATCATACCAGTCTCTGAATGGAGAAAAATTGAAAGAACACCTCGTGAGTGTCAATTTTACTCCTATTCAGGACAAATCTCCTTTATTCTTAGCCCCAGCATCTTTTAGTACCTTATGCTGCCTATAACCATGTTCTTGAGTAGGGAAAGAAAACTGGTTGGTTTCTTACAGCTGGCTCAGCTCTGCCGAGCTGAGCTCCAAGGCCAGCAATTAAAGCACCTCTAGCTAAAGACACTGCCACAATTACCTTGCAGCACTTGGCTGCTCTGCCAGAGTCTTTCATTACAAGGTCTGAATAGAAATTAAAGTACTAAGGCCCCACTTCTAGCAGTATGTCCAGTGAGTTTGGCGAATGGGCCATTGTGCCTACGTGCAGCACTGCTGGTCCCAGTGGCATTCAGCATTTACCCAAAAAGTGTTGGGATATAATTATGCAATAAGCAATCTCCCTGTTAGGTTTCCTGCTTCTTCCAGGTCCATTCCCATATGGCAAGAAAATAGCAGAACTTATTGTTTATATCTTGTATAAATCAATGGATGGAGCATTTTGATGCACTGTGTCTTTGTGAAATTAGTTCACCCAATTTGAATTTGTTTACACGTGCAATTTTCCAAAAAGCAAATACAACTGGGTAGAATTAATCTCAATAGCATTATTTCAAGGATTAAACAAAACATCTATTACAGGCTTCAGGAAAAAAAAAAAGAAAATGCATAGGTATTACTGCAGATGTGTTTTTGTAGGTTTTAATCCCACTTTGTACACATCTGAAAGCTTAACTTTAATCTCTAGAACATGTTAATTTAGGAAAACAGGAACTTATCTCAGAAGGACTGCAGTTTGGAGGATCTACAGTAACTAGAGAAGTAACTACCAAAGCCAACCAAGCATGTGAACATCTGTCTGATCCTGTTCCAGTACATGATATTGCTGCTCCTAACCCTTTGCTGCAGCACCAGAATGAGCTGCTGAAGGGAGACAGGCAAAACTGCTCAGTACTGGAGAGCCCCGCTCAGGCAACACATTTTAGAAAATCCTTTTTGATCCCCCCTGCCTGTAACAGGAGGTGCAGGCAGTCCCTTGCACATTAATCCCCACGGTGGGGACATAGCGTTACACTGCAGACGTCTGGGATGGCAACCAAGAAACCTACTTCTCAGGCATAGAGCACCCTTTGTCTCACTGCACTGCCAGGATTGTGGGAAAACACACTGGGTGTTTTTTTTATTGTTGTTGTTTGCTTTATTTTTTTTAAGGTTCATTGTCTAGCCATGAGATCCTGCGCACAGGTTTAAGGTCTTCTATTCACCTTTCATTTTAAAGCCTGTTACAATGGAAAGTTGAGAAAAGATACAGTACTAGCAAGGACACATTGTCTGTTTGTTACTTCTGCTTTCTCCATAAAAATGTCCAAACACGTATGCCAAGTATAAGAGCCCTTCACACATCGTGCTAACTCACAAAATCAACTTCTGTGCAGTGGCAAAATCTGAAAATAGCGAGGAAAACTGAACTACCACGATGTGGCATACTTGGGAAAGTGAGCTGCCTTGTAAACTTCTGACTGTAAATCTCCCTTCCATTCCACTTATCCCTGCCTCCATCTTGTTCATTCAGTGTATGGGTCGAAATTTGGGATGCTGGATTTTCACTGCAAAAAACTTGGCATCAACATATGTGCAGATATGGAGCAGAAGCTGCTTACACAGACAAAGCTTTGAGGAATATTCTGTTCCGAAAACAAATATCCTGGTCAATCCAGAGCCTTAAAATAGCAATGGCCCTTTCTTGTGCTGGTGGAGTTATTTTCCTATGCTTCTCACAGTGCAGCTGTCTGTCTTGCTATTATGCAACATGAGGTGACACACTGCTCCTTCATTTAGTAACTTGGGTTGGCATCATTCAGCAAGTCTAGTTGTTCAGGAGCAGATATGGTAAGCCATACAGGCTTTCGTATGGCTGATGTAAAATCAATTCTGATATTGATCCATCTTCTCAGCCCTTTGAAAGACCAGCAAGAGCTGAAGTGAGTAGTAAGGAATGTAACAGAATTATGCCCTCTGCACAAATCTCATTGAGGCTCTGCCTGTAACATAAGAACCTTCCTGCTCCCAGGGAAGTTTTCTCTTGCTCAGGTTAGGACTGGTTCCAGGAGGCTGATGCTTTGCTTAAGAGAGCAACTTACTCAAAGTAGTAGGGGGAGGTAGAACTTTTTCTCCCTTTTTATTTTTGACTCCTTCCCTTTCTATTTGTTCTCTCACAGTTGTACAGGCCTGTCACTGTCAGGAATCATGCCCCATCTCAGTTCATACCATCATTTTAAATCTAATGGTTAGAGCACAGGAAAAATGAGGTCAGTGGTTGCTGCTGTTTTCTTGGGAACTGACAGGCCACGTCTAAGGTCTCCCTAGAGAAATCTTCTTTAATTACAAGTTAAGCTGATGTTCCCCTGTGTAGCAGGTAGAATCAAGGAGATTACTTTTAACAGGATTGTACTGATCTGCTTTGGTGACAGTTTCATTTTGAAACTCTGATAACAAGCAAGTGGATGGAATATAAAGATGTGGTTTTCAGGATGGCATGTGACTGACAATGCAAAGAGGACCACAACAGTCACTTTTTCTTTCTGCTCTTCCTTTAAAGCCAGATGAGTTCTATTTTGAGCACTGTGATTACTGTGTTTTGTTTTAGTGGTTACTTAATACAATTATAATGAACAGAGCAAAAAGAAAGAAAAAAAAAAAAAGGGAAATCCTGCAAAGAGCAATTATAGAAAGGATGTTTTCCATCCTGGAGAGAATGACCACTTAGCATTTTACAAGGTAAAACAATGAAAACCACATAATAGGTTGCATGCTTTCAAGAGCCTGAATTATAAATAGGTGCTGGGAAAGCAAATGATTATTAATTGGTTCTTAAAGCACTTCTATGCCAACCCAAGAAATTGTAGTGGGGAAAAAAAAAAAACCACCAGAAAAAGCTTCCAGATTCCTCTTCCTTGTCCTTAAGGTAATGAAACAGATAATTAATTTTGTAAGTAAAATTTGTCTCATGATGATATTGCCATCTCACAGTAGCGTGGCAATACAGTCAATAGCCAGGCCTACTTTGTTCTATGTGACAAATTAACACTATTTTTTATGACTTGTAGCAAGTTGGATAGTCTAAAATCACTTACATCCTAAAGAACATTGTAAACAAGTAATAAGCTTTCATGAGAAGCTGTTTGGCCTCATAAAGCGTACTCACCTTTGACACTGATGGTGCTTCTTTGACGTGATCGGAGTCCTGACAGAGGAGGTAAGACAGTATTTCTTCACTGGGTCCTCATTCCCAGATATGGGCTGAGAGGGTGTAGCACTGAGGCAGACTGCAAAACGCCTGCTGAAAAGAAACATCTTGTTAAACAAAAATAAAAATCCCAGAGCAGAGGGGGCCCAAGCATCAGTGCCATTTCTCCAGAAGTGAAGAACCTGGAGCGTGTTGGCTCCTCACCTGAGAGCAGCTCAGACTCCTAAGCCAGGCATGTTGCATGAAAGACCAGCATAACTTGCCTTCTTGAGTAGGTCTCCCAGCCCGAGCTGATCAGGTGAGGTACTGTCTGAAGCAAAGACACCTCCTGAAGTAGATGTTTGCCCTTTCTGCTCCAGGACAACATGCTGCCTGCAGGGAAAGACAAGTTCCTACCTTTCCAATTTCTTAGTCAGAGTGAGCACTTTACCCTGCACTGCTCTAGCTGCATATTTTCCCTTGTTGAAGGCTCTTAAAGAGCCTTCTCTTTCAGATAGAGCACTACAGGGCATTGGGTGAGAGGCAACAGGGAGGTGGGAATCATGTTCCCTCCTCTACCACCAAGCCCCCATCCATTCCTGGTAGACAACACCATCTGTCCCAAGTACAGTGATGAAAGTACATCACTGACAACTGCAAACCACATCAGGCACTGATTTCCACCCACACAAAGAAGGAAAGGAGTGAGAAATGCAATCTGGATGGCAGCGCTTGTCTCAGGGATTAACCCTCAGCATCCATCGAGAGCCCCTCACCCAGCACACATTTCTGGGGGGCAACAAACAAGCTCACTGAAGGGTTCTGCCTCTCCATTGTGGCAGAGCCCTGTTGTTTGTGGGCTGCTCTTTCTGTTAATGCTCTCTAGGAGTAATTCCCTGAGAGCTGTGAAATGTCTGAGCAGGGGCTTGTCAGGAGAGCTGTGTCCTCCTCTGTATGCAGGCCACCCAAACTCACGCTTCACAGAGGGACACAGTTTTTCCACCTTCAGGCCACAAAGTTACCCGCTGATATGGTGTCACTGAAGGCACCATCCATCCAACTGCTTTGGAACCAGCAATAATCCCCCCCAGAAACAGCAGGAGAAAAGAAGGAACAAGACTCTCCCTCACAAGATGGAGAGGGAATGCAGAACTGAAAGACAAGGAAGCAAGGAAAAAATTCAGTTTGCTGTGTGAGCAGCACCTTTTAGCAAGCTCCTGGAAACTCAGGCAGACCCAGTGTTCTGACTGGTACAGGTTCTAACGGCAGCCTATCCTTTCCTGAAGGCACTGCTAAACCAAGCAGTGAATGTCTCCAAACAGCAACAAAATAAGAGAACCATTAAACACAAGCATCCTGATTTTTAAATGTTAGGATCAGAGGAGAAGCTAGACAAAATATTTCAGAAAAAATATCTATTATTCAAATTCTAGCCACCTGGGGAGCCCCATTGCCATACCTGACGAAGATAAAACTTGAAGCCTCAATTTAGTTACATTTAGCTGTAACTGCTTAACAAACCTTGCATTCTTCCATTCATTTTTCATACAATGAATCATTAGCCCTTCTGCTTATTGAGGTAACCACTGAATACACAACGTTCCCATTAGGTCATGTAAACCCAGCAGCTACCAAGGCAATATTACTTGAGTCTTCCTTTGCAGCTTCCTCTCTCTTATCTTTTCACCCTCAATAATACCTCTAGCAACTCAGCTTTCTCTATGTGACTCAATCAGCACAGGAGAAAGTGCTCAGCACTTTTGGCTGTAATCACTCTTCATGCAGCTGTTCTCTACATCCTCTGGAGAAAAAGTAGAAAGCAGCCTATGTGATGGCTCAGCTCTGCCACCAATTTATTCAGTCAGAAAACCAGCAGGCCTGCAAGCTATCAGTGTCACATATAATGCCAACCTGTATTCAGTCATATTCCAAATATTTGCAGAAATAACCTTTGGCTGCAAGGATGCTGTCCTCTTAGTCACACCAAGTGCTGAAATTACATAATAGCAACTGAAAAATGTCCCAGATGATTGCACACACGCATGCACATTTTAGCAGCAAAATGGAGCATATAATGCAAAGTGTGAGAAAACAATTGGAATAAAATATAATCTGGTTGAAAAAATATTGAAATTCAGATAAATTGCTTTCAAACAAAACATGGCCCTTGCTGATATCTTTTAGAAATCCTACTTGCATTTCCAAAACAAAGACACAGATTTCTCTTTTCTTGTAGTAAAATAATAATTGTATCTTTAGATGGAGTCATCAGCAGTTCTTTCTAGTAACTGTTTTTGGTTATCTTCTGCAAAGCAAGAGCACTAGCAGATGTTGTTCATGTATGACATGGGCACTGCTCTGGATGGACCTGGAGCACTTGCAGAACTACCCTTCCTGAAATTCTGCATGGTGTGGGTCACTGCTGTCACACTAAGTTACATTCTTATTAGGACAAGTTAGAAAATTTTGCTCGTTTTGCAAAGCCATTTGTTAGGAAGGAATCAAACAGTGAGACTTCTATGCTACCAAATCATCCCACGTATATGTATGCTGCATGGGCAAAAAAAGTCCTTTGGGTAGCAACCTTTATTTGAGAGGGCTGTGCATAAGGAGCTGTGGCAATCTCTGGGCTGATTAAGACTTTGTAATGTAGGCTATCCCTTAGCCTTTGTCAGTCATCAGAGTTGAATGAATACCCAGGAATGTGGAGCACAGAAATTTCCATATTGAGTACAGAGTCCAGTTTCTGATTTTTGAAATAATTAATCTGAAATGCTAAAAAAAGATTATCTAAGAAAAGTTCCTTTCCAGCTAACTTCTTCCTTCTTTCCCTTTCTTCTTTCCTGCCCATTCACCAGTAGCAGCAGTCTAGGATGGCTGGCCACTTCTCTCCTGAGTTCCCTCTGGCTTCCAATGAAATCACCCAGCAGCTCCATGCATTAATTGTGAATTGCATAAAGCAACATTTTACTATCAGCTTCTGGATGTCCTGCCTCCCAGTTTCACCTAACTTCCCCTTGCCCCGTTGCAGCTTCTGGCTCACCTTTCTGCCTTCAGCTTCATCTATCTCCACTGCTTTCCTCTACAGATAAAACACAGAAATCATAAAAGATAAAGATGACAAAAACCCCCAAGGTGGTCTGAAACAAACTTTTGAAGAAGAAATGTCTCCCATTGCACGCCTTTGTTCCAGATTAGCTTTAAATTCTCCAGTCAATAAAAAGATAAGCAATTCATTTTACAAGCAGTTACACCACAGTCCTGAGATGTATCTTAGTCCATATGTTTCTTCATTTCAGCCCCTACTGCAGCCTTCTTTAATAACTGTGCATTCAAATACATGCGGGTTTCTTTAACATGCTGATAAACTCAGATTAATTCCACTACTGCTGTGGAGCAGAAATCTCCAGGGAATTAACGAAAAGATGCCACCTCAATAAGAGAAAAATCACTATACAGTTAACATATATTTTTTCTATCATGGTTGCATCAAATATCACATTCACTTCCAGAAGCTGACACCTACCCCTGGTTTTTGTTTGAAGCCTGAAATGAGATCTGTTTTGTATAAAGTGTGTTTTAATTTCTGCACAGCTGTGTAAGAACAAATAACAAATCATCCTGGACTTCTTGATATACTACATGCCATTCCAGGCTATTGCTTGAAAAAGAAACCACTAATACAAAAGGTTTCACTTAGTGCAAGATTGAATGCAGCTCACTCATCTGTAGGAAATTCATTTCATAAAGCAATTTAGAATCCACCTAATCAAAAGAGCCTCACAAACCTATGCATGTTTGCATATACTTAATAATACTCAGTAATTAATCAATAATTATTTGTATTTTAATCAACGTTATTGTCTGTAATAGTATTTTACGTATTCTAAGAACACTTTGAATAGAAGTTCATCATTCCAGCTTAGGAAAGACCAGTGTTGCTGTCTCTGAACGTGAAGAAGCCTTTAATTTTAGAATATCAAACTTTAGAGTTTTCCTGGTTATGAAGATCCCATGCCCAGAGTCAAGTTCTCTTTCCAAAGGCTTTGCTGCTGCAGCTATGAGGCCCTAGGACCTGCGGTGTGTTCCCTAGCCTGTTGTCCATTCCAGTTCTTGCACATAAGTCTTTCTCAAAGGATCAAAAATTTAGTCACTTATTCGCTTTTCTGTTGCAAAAATATTGAAACTCATAAGGAATGTCTATGTTGCATGATCATCTCTGGCTTTATTTTCCCTCTCCATCTTTCCACCAGGGGGATTTGATTTGCTTAACTAACCTGATGTCTTTTTCCAGGTGTAGGTAAACAGGTCTACCACTAATCTATCCTAAATCCTGCCAAACTGCCACCATTGCCAACACCCAGAGCCATGCCCTGTACAACAGAAGGGAAATCATGAAACACATGTTAATCTTTAGCCTTGCAGCTCAAATTCCTTCATTGATAAAGGCTATTATAGTGAATTGCCAGAGAGAAGCATGTCCTCTGAGCATGTAGTTTTGTGCAGATTAATTTTATTTGCTTGTCTTTAATAATACAGTAGATCATGTTGAGCAAGCCATTTTCATCTCACCTGTCTAGCAGCACTGTTAAGGACATGTTCTAAAGGCCTGAAATACAGTCTGGTCTTCTGTAGAGGTGCTAACAGAAAGGTGACAGACCACTCACACAAAACCACCTACATTTTTCAAAATAGGATTTTTTTTCCCCCAAATCTGTAGTGCGATATAAACAAAAGCATTGCCTTTAACAACTTTGAAATCCATAAGACAGCCAAATAAAAGTGTTTTTCTTTTTTTCTTCCCAAAATCTAAAATAAGCTGTGAAAGAATTAAATGGGAAGCAAACGCTGGGAGACTTTTAAGAAGTACACTTATTTATTCTGATGGGCCTCCTAGGAACATTTCAAATTACCTGTGAAAAGCCAGCCAGACACCGAATCGATTCAGTCCTAATGAGGATAGACTGGAGCAAAGCTGAGAGCTGGTCCAAGTACCCACTGGGTTATTTCAGCACACACATAAGGAGGTAGATTTAGTTTTCAACTGCTTCAGCTCTTCCACGTGCTGTCTGTTCATCCTAGCCAGGCATAAGAGGAAAAATATCAGAAGCTAGAACAGTGAAATCAGTAATCTATGCAAAAAGCAGTCCTAGTGTTATGGATCCAGGCTGGATGTGGCTCTGGGCAACCTGGTCTGGTGGTTGGTGACCCTGCCTGTGGTAGGGGGTTGAAACTAGATGATCATTGTGGTCCTTTTCAACCCAGGCTATTCTATGATTCTATATGATTCTGTGATCTTGTAGGCCTTCATTCTGCTCTTCCTTATTAATGATAATTCTACAAATCTCATTCCTCCACTGAATTGATTGAAGAGGTTATTCTCTAATTTCCATTTAGAAGTGGCCTAAAGTAGATTTGATTAAAAAATATATATGTTAATAATAATTAGTTTTTTCAGAAATAATTGGGAAGGAGCGAAAAACAATATACCTTTGTTTCGGGTAGTGGTGGTGTTTCTAAGATAAGGTAAGCACAGCAGAAACCAAGCATTTCAGCCTGGGATACTATAAAACCTCTCACTCCTTGGAAAGTCTTAGCTGTACTCATGTATTTGCATAAAAGCTGTTCGCTTTGGACATTCTGAGAACCAAAACTTAAGAAGGAAGGAAACACAAGGGGAGTGCCAAGGATTTCTTCCTGCCCAGACCAGAATCCAGCACCTGGACCTGCCAGCATGCAAATGTGGATCTTTAAGAGACAGATCTACTAATGGTGGCTGCATCCTAAGCCACTGTGGAGATGCTGTATTATAGGATATTCCAGAGTTAGAAGAGACCCACAGTGACCAATGAGTCCAACTCCTGGCTCCAAAATTCAAACATTTTTCTGAGAGCATTATCCAAACACTTCTTGAACTTTGGCACTTGGGGCCATGACCATTGCCCTGGGCAGCCTGTTCTATGCCTACTGAGGGAAAGACTGCAGTGATCACAGCTTAGCTCCCTACTCAGTAACAACAGCCACAAATGTTGAAGCCTGCCAGCTCAGGTGACACATCTTTAGTGACTTAAAAAAACAGTCAGTGAAATAGCCCTCCTCTTCCTGCTTCCTCTTCCCCTCTACAGCCTAACCTTCATCACTAGAAATCTGAAATGTCCTCCAACTTTTTCTTCAGAAACCCAGTACCTCATTTAGAGAAATCTCGGTTTGCTCAACACAAAGCTTTCCTTCTTTATGAATAAAGCATCAGTGTATTCAGGTCATGCACTGTTGCTGGTCTGGGAAGAACTATGCAGCGTTGTGAAGTTTGCCAAAGGAGTCACCAGTGATTTCATTTATGGAAGCAA